GGGGGGGGGGGGGGGAATCGGCTTGAGGGACTAAAGAATTGAACCGTTTGGAAACGAATTTTTCTTTTTTGTGCTTAAAAAAAATGGACCAATAAAGGCCCCGGCCAAACTTTCGGCCACTGTTCCGGTGGTAGCTTAAAGAGGTGGAGCTACTGAAATTTTTGGTGAAAACAGTATAATATTATTGTTGAGAGATATTTAGCTAGAAAAAAATAATATAATATCGGATCCACTATCAAAATTCAATTTAATTTAATTCTAAAACAAGAAAGAAAAATTCTGATAAAACGTCGCGCGCCCAAATACAATGGAAATATACGTAACATGCCATGTCAATATGAGGTGTCTGGACTTGAGGTATCAAAATGGTAAAAAGGCCAGTTGAGGTATTTGTCTGAATTTTAAGGATAACTTAAAGAGACCGTTTATGTATTTCGCCTTTTTCCAAAGCAATAACATTGAGTATCTAGTAGGAGTATTACTTATTGTTTACATGATAATTTAAATATATCAAAATATATTATTCAATATAAACTAAAAATCTCCTTTGAGGAATAGGAGGAAAGGAATAAAAAAATGATTGAAGTAGAAAGAGAAGAACAGTATAGTAGAAATAGAAAGGAAAAGGAAAAGAAAAGAGTTAAATTAATGAGAATAAATTGAAAAATACAAATTTATTGTAAGGTTATTTTTGCCTTGGATAAATTAATTTTCTGGTTCTGATATCACTCAAAGTACTTTTTCATCTCGGGCAAACACCTCAAATTTTTCAAAGAGTAATTTTTTGACAAAAAGTACTTTTTGCTTCCTAGAAGCTTGGCCAAACAAGCTCTTAATTTTGAAAAGTATTATTATCTCAAAAGTGTTTTTCAATAATTTTTTTGTCAAGAAGCAATTAATATTTGGCTAATTAATTTGAATTTGAGTAACAATTAGTGATTAACCAAGTAAGTGTATTTTTCCTAGAAGTGCTTTTCAAAAATATGCTTCTAGGAAAAAGTTATGTTTTTCTACTTCTCAAAAATTATTTATGTATGTAGTGAAATATTTTTTTTCCCTCTAAAAACTAGGTCAAACAATTTAATGAAGGGAATGTCACACCCCTTTTTACCCTTTAAAAATAAAATAAAGTGATTTTAAAGATCAAAAGGGTTTCAATTTGAAAAGTGACAAAAGATTGTATTTCGGACGATTTTTCAGAGTCGTCATCCGACATTTGATTTCGACGTGTCGGGTCATCATTTTTAAAAAAATAAGAATTGTCCTTCAAAATACATTTGATTCCGAAATAAACTGACTGCACTAAAAATTCTAAGTAAGGGGGTTCATTTGACTCGGGGAGAAGGTATTAGACATTTTTCGTGTCCCATAAAAGTCACAGTTGAATCCTGGATCTAGTTGGCTTTAAAAATATCGAATTGAGGCAAAAACAGACAAGAGAGTCGAGGTTATCCCCTACCTAAAAGGAAATAAAAGTCCTAAACTTAGCCTATATTAATGCTTCCTCGAAAGACATCCAGCTTTAGTCTTCAATTATATAATGCTACGGGACATCACCTCAATAAAATATTTACAGAATCTATGGGCATTCCCCTAAATATAATCTAAAGGGGACGACCTCTTACCTCGAATCAAACAAAAAGAAAAAACCTAAAACAAAAAGGAACAACCTAAAACTTGCCTACCAAGTGTGGTCTAAACAGCGATTATGGAAGAAAAGCAAAAATAAAACTAAAATAAATTAAAGACATTTCATGCTCATGTTCAAGTTCATTTCACTTGTGACTTCACCCCCGCGGCCCAACATCATCATCCAAAAAATTTAACGCGGAGCATTTAACAGATAACTATCCAAACATTGAAAGAAGACAAGGACTAAAGAAAACCAAGATAATAGCAATACTAAAATAAGAAAAGTGAACCGAAGCCATTAAAGATTTTTTCATCACCCAGCTTCCTTAAATCACAACTAAAGGCCCACACAACCATGACAGACAGAAAGCCTCAATTAACATATCAAAGTATTTAAGTGAGGTGGAGCACATATGCATAGTAGACTAGGAGATTAAAGCATGGTAAATTCACAGAGACTTGCTCAATTTCAAATTCATCAATGAAAGAAATAGGATAGGGACTATGACGTTTAAGACACGAAACACTTAGCACAATTAACTTGCTCGCATACCACTACACCAGTACTTGGCTTAACAGAAAAAACACATGTTTAAAACTAGCTCTAAACACAAATATTAAATCAATAACTTCAATCATGAGACATGAGTTGCGCCTATATTTTCAATGAGATTGAAAGATTTCAAACCAACTCATCAAATTAAAAGGAAGCGAAATTCATGGAAGTGTAGTTTTAGTTCTTCGAAACCAATTAATAGAAATATTATTCCAATATTACTTTTAGGAATTAAGTGTTGATCTTACTTAAGCATGAAATGAACAGCTTTGTAAGATAAGCTTGTCACGTACCTACATGGATCTCAATTATGATGATAAACCTACAAACAAGTACATGACTTTATTTTTTCTACTTAACATTCCAAAAGCAGTGAAATTTGTAAAAACTTCATTCATATACTCAAACTACGAAAACAAGCACAAATACTTGAAGACCGGTTGTCTATCTATGAAAATTTCGATTTATCAAACCAGATTCAAGGCATATCAACACAACACTCTAGATCCGCGCACCTCGAACACATTTAATCTTTAAATCAAACATTTTATTAAGAGAGACTAAAGGCAAAACCGAGACCAGAAAATACAAACCAAATCGATATGGGAATTGGGATAATATATAGAAATCATCACTACAAATTTAAATCCCCATCTTTTAATGGCTCATCCAAGGCATGAT